CTGGTTGCTTGCGTCGGTGTAGACAATGAAAGGAAGTGTGTAGTCAGCATATGCCAGAACAGGGGTTTGTGTCAAAGCCCTCTTTAGGGCATCGAAGGCTGCTTGACACTCAGAGGACCATTGCACTCTTCGAGTCTCAGACTTTTTATTTGCTGGAATGCCTGTCAACAAGTTGTTCAGGGGACGTGCAATTTTGGCAAATCCAGATACAAAGCGTCTGTAGTATCCAGCTAACCCTAGGAAGGCCCTCACTTGCCTTATCGTGGACGGGACAGGCCAGTTTGATACAGACGAGATTTTATCGGGGTCAGGTCTTACCCCAGAATGATCCACCACATGGCCCAAAAACTTTACTTCTTGTTGGAGAAGTTTACACTTGTCCAATCGCAGTTTCAGGCCATGCCGCAACAATCTTTGGATCACCTCATCCAAATGCTGTAGGTGAGAGGAAAAATCAGGTGAGTATATTATGATGTCGTCCAAATACACCAATAGGGACTCCGCCATTTGGCCACTTAAACACTGTTGCATTAGGCGCTGAAATGTTGCTGGTGCATTACAGAGGCCAAAAGGCATGCGCTCAAACTCAAATAGTCCAAGTGGGGTTGTAAAGGCAGTTTTCTCTCGGTCTTGGGGGTCCATCTCAACCTGCCAATAGCCACTAGCCAGGTCAAGGGTAGAAAACCACTCAGCTCGGGTCAGGTTTGTTAGAGTCTCTTCGATTCTTGGAAGGGGAAAGGCATCTTTATGGGTTACGGCATTGAGTTTCCTATAGTCGACACAGAACCTCCAGTTACCGTCCTTCTTCACCAGAACTATGGGCGCAGCCCATGGGCTACAACTTTCTCTGATTACCCCCTTCTCAAGCATTTCTACAAGTAGGCTCTTCATTTCCTTATACATCAGAGGCGGAAGAGGTCGGTACCTTTCTCTGATGGGCGCTGCATCACCCGTATGGATACGGTGTTGTACCAGGTCTGTCCGACCAAAGTCTTCATCATGGTTAGCAAACGCGTCCTTCCACTTGAGCAGCAGGGTGCATAGCTCCTCCTGTTGCTGTTTAGAGAGATCAGGTCGGTTAGTCAGGTTCTTTACCTCTTCAGGCAGCTCCTGTCCCTTGTGGTTGCCTGTTGCATCTACCAAAGCCACTTCAACAACGCAATTGTCTTTCAGAGATAGGGTAAGGTCACAAGATCCACGCACATCAGCTTCATCAACGTGGTACAGCTTACCCAATTTCTGGTTCCGCCCTATGGACAAGGTGTAGGGATATGGGTTGCAGACACGAACAGGGATTCTCCCATTTCTTACCACTGCTAGTGTCCTAGCTACGCCAACATTGTTGGTTTCAGGTAGTGCTTCCATCAGGGCACAGTAGTCTGTTCCTCCCGGGCCCATCCGAGCACGGCCCCACACCAGCAGCTCACTCTTTGGTGGGACTCGGATATTTTGGCGAGTAGCTGGCCGCACGTTTCCCAAGAATCCGTCTTCTGTCATGGTGGCCTCGATACGTTGACAGGTAGCAAAAGCATCCCGCCAAACTCTCTGGTTCTTCAGCTGCTGTGGAGTGGAAACTGGCCTTCCAGGTCGTTGAAAGAGTGTTTCCCAGCAGGCGGTCACAACATTCATACCTATGAGGAGCGGGTGGGTGCAGTGTTTATCTTTAATAATCACGACTCCTCGTCCAGGTATTTTGATGCCTTCCACTTCCAGATCAAACACTGCGTAGCTAGTGTATGGGATCTCCAGGCCGTTGGCTGCCCTTAACTGGAAAACTACAGGGGTCTTCCCAAGCTTAGCTTTGGAAAAATGCTGCTCAAATAAACTCTGCTGCATTAATGTAACCTGAGACCCCGTATCCAACAGTCCTTGCAACTCAACCCCTTCAATCGTTACTCCTATAGTTGGGCATTGCCCAATAAAGGCTTCCGTGGCCCTTGAGTCGTGTAGTGCATCAGCAACCCCTGCCCCTTGGACCTCAGCAGCAGGGACAGCTAGTTTAAAGCCACCCGGGAAGCAGGCCTCCTACAATACCTGGCTATATGTCCCGCTTGTCTACATTGGCGACAGATTGGCCTACCTTGTTCATCCCAGTCGTTAACACCGGACGCCGGTCGCGACCGCTCACTATGTTGTGTCAGGGGCTGTGGGGGAGCATTGACTGGTTGAAGTAGTGGTTTAATTTCCTTTATTAATTCTTGGGTGAGTCCTTGCATCTGGGATTTCACATCTTCCATGATCTCTCGCTTCAGCGTGTCTCTCCAACTTTCCTTCTGTAACAAAGCAGGGGAGGCATGAGAGTCGTTCACAGAAAAGCATGTTACCTCCGGCTGTGTGTATCCGTGTTCTGAGTCCAGCAGTAGTGCTTCTTGTCGAAGTGCAGCAAAGTCTTCGTCTGGGTTACGGCGCGCATACACCTTCAGCGCCTGAGCCATTGGGCCTTCGTTTAGCCCAAGCAACAACTGGTCTCGTAGCACCGTGTCAGAGGGGGCGTTGCTTGGATCATTCCGCCGCAACATGCAAAACAGCTCTCTCAACCGTAATATGAACGAGGGTACAGACTCTCCAGGTTTCTGTTTACAACCGAAGAACTTTGATCTTAAAACCGGGGTTGGGGTTCTATCGCCATAGAGAGTGTCTAGGTAGAGAAAAATCTTCCTACCCTGGTCTCGCTCACTGTCTTCAAGGACGCTGACCTGGCGTTTAGCCTCACCTGCTAAGGCTCCCAACACAATAGCTGCCTTCCCAGCTTCTGTTAATTCTTGGGAACTTAACAGTCCTTGAATCTGTTCCTTCCAATCACTGTATTTTACATCTTCACCGGGCCCTTTAAATTTAGGCAGCCACGGGGCACCAGGAAACACAGGCATCATCATCTTCAAAGTCTTTTTTGTCTTAAATCACCGCAGCTGTTCTCCAATCCGGTCCTGCCAGCGACGCCAGAAAAGTTCCCTTGTCAGCCTTGTGAGGCGGGGGAATTAAAATTTAATAAAAAATAAGATTACATTTATAAAAAGGTACCAGCAACGCCACCTAGTTGCGGAGTCTAGGTCTCCATAAAACAGGTTCTTGTTCACCAGAGGAAGAACAGCATGGATCACAAGACTTAAAAGCGTGGTTTAAAAGGAGGATTTTATTATTAACTAAAAACCCATAAATAACTACAATATTAAAAGTCCAGTTGGAACAAGGTACTAAAATGATTTAAGAATTCGACCAGCCACTGCTGCTGGTCGGTCTTGCCCTTTCTTCTTGTTTCCGGTTCCGTTCCTTTCCTGGGTGAGGTGTCCAGTCCGTTTCGTTCCTCTCCCCGTTGCACCCTGCCTGCTCGTCCGTTGTCTGGCCGCCCTCTCGCTCGATTTCCCGTGGCTTCTCCTGCCCGTGGCTTCACCTTTCTGTGGCCTTCCTTCCTGTGGCTCCCCCCGTGGCCTTCCTCTGCCCGTAGCTTCACTTTTCTGGGGCCTTTATAGCAGCTGTGTTAATTGGAGAGGGGAGGTCCTTTCATTGTGTAATGTGGTTGGCCAGGGCTCTCTGTAATTGATTAGTCCCTCCAGGTGCATGTAATTTACAGAAAGGTGGGTTAATATGTAAAAAAATGTAATCAAACAAACCATGCAAAAATGTAATAAAACAACCCACGCTAAAATGTAAAAACAAGCCACGCTAAAATGTTATAAAACAAGCCACGCAAAAATGTAATCAAACAAACCATGCAAAAATGTAAAAACAATAATTTACAGAAACCACAATGTCCCCCTGGTGACAGGAGGATTTCGGAAGGTTAAAGACCAGTCGAGCTGCTGCATTCTGGATGAGCTGCAAGGGTCGAATAAGATCAACAACAACAACAAAATGATAATTTGCATGCATCAAATGTGCAACGTTGGAAAATCCCTTTCATAACCTCAGTGACAAGCAGGATCATGTTTTTCACCAGTATATTGCCATTGTTAATTTATTATTAAAGAAATAAAACTATTATCATCTCATCCATTCAGGAGTGTATGTATTCTTCTTACAGTATTAAACCCAACTAAATGTCTTTTGTCCTCATTAGGTGATTACTGCCATCAACGTTTCCGTTGGGCTGCTGACTCCCCATCTAGTCTGCTGCAGAAGTTTAGAAATTACGAAATATAAACACATGTGTTTAATAAGTTAAATACTTTTGTAACTTTCTTGTGTCTTAGTCAGTTGGGGCCCTAATTGTTGTATATGATCTGTAAATCATTCAACTTTTGGTTTTCGTGAGCTAAACAATAAATGTGTTTGTTGTATCAGATTCTTTGTCAAGCAAAAATGTAAATGATGTGAATAATGTATTTTGTCAATCGTTTTGCTAATTTGATCAATATGTTCACTAACACACACAATGCAGATAACTCATCTGGAATTATACTGGAGCCCCTTGAGTCTGTCATGTGTATTTCTGTGATGCTGTTAAGTCCATTGGGAACATAAAACTGAAGCATCCCAATTCCATTGATTTGTATTATTATGCAAGACTAGGTTTTGTGAGATGTCGATCAAAATGCCAATCCAAACTATCTAATGGTACTAAATGTTGACGATTACATGGGAACCTTAAAAAGATTGTTAAATTGTCACTTTTATCATTGTCATCCATATCTTGAAATATTAACTGCTGTGGAAGGTCCAGTCGACGGGGGGAACACAATCATTCCAATGATTATATAAAAAGTGAGATAGTGTTACGACAACTTTAGGCCCATTACGAGGCCTCTTGGGTGAATAAACGTGTTTGTTGAGCTCGTGATTGTGTTGCATGCACCAGATCTGCCAAAGGTGCGCTGAAGCTCCAGTCTTGGCAGTCGGATGACGTGGCTGAAGGTTGCGGACGATACGCAGGCGGGAGTTTTTTTATCCACCGTTTGATCCATCGCTTTCCCCCGTGACTGGAGGATGCAGGTCATGTGACTCAAGTCAGCCAATCAAATTTGCGTGCGATGTGCGGTGGTGAAGCGCTTACGCCAAATGCGTACGAGAGCATCCCTAAAATTGCCTCTGTCATACAACCAGGAAGAAGGTGGGATAGCCCTACAAAGCTAACATCCCCAATCTCGCTGTATTCCTACTCCGAAAAAGAATGGGGTCTTCCAGGTGGAAGGTAGCAGCTGCGGCTTTTCTCGCTATAGTGGGCTCTTTATTATCTGTCGACGCAGATGAACACGAACACACGGTAAGACGCCGTTTGGAGAGAGGCCGATTGAAAAGGGGGAGCCTTGAAAGTAATGGACGTTTGTGTGTGTGTGTAGCATGCTAACTGTAGCTGCCACGGCTAACTGCACACAAGAAAACAGCATTGCAGACACGAAAGCGAGCACGGCCCGGCCCGTTAGCTTATTCATCGACACTTGATGAGCTATCAAACCGACGAAGGAATTCACGCGCTCGCTAACTTGTCGGCACTTATCGGCCTAAGTGCTTACGGCTAACGTCTGCCTGTTAGCTTGTTAGCACGTCTTCCAGGAGCACCAGCGGAAACTGCGCTCAAGTTAGGCTAGCTAGCCATCGTTAGTTTGGTAGGTACGTCGCTTAAGTTAATTTAGTTAGTCATTTTGATTTTGAGCAAATTGGGGGGGGGGAAACGACCATTTTCAATGAATTTTCTGGTCAATCCAGACAAACCGGATTTCCCTGATGACTGCGACGGTAGTTCACGTTACAGCAGCCAGCGACACACCGGCTACTCGCTGTTTCTCCTCTCCCCGATTTATTACACACCGATGCCCAGACGTTAATTACAGATAATTAACAAGTTAAAACTGTGTATCGTGTTGTGTTGTTTCGCATAACAACGCAGCTGGCTGTGGCTCGATAGCTAGAAGAGTGTTTCATTGCATTTAACTTCTCTTATAGTGCCACGCTCACGCGAGCACAGGTATGATACCGGAAACGTTTGTGTTTGCATGAATTTGAATGCAGTGACTGATACGCGTCGGTGTAAGTTTGATAACGTTGCGTTACACACGTCGTCTTCGCGTAACCGGCGTGTCTGAATCCAACGTAATCCTTCACGTTTCCTGTTTCGGTAAACCCTTATTGCAAGAAACTCTCTTGCTAAAAAGTGAGCTGGCTGGAATGTGAAAGTAGGATCAGAAGATCGGGATTTGCTCTCCTGTGTTTCAGACATCTTTCCTCTCTTCCCCTCGCAGTACATAGATAAGGAGGAGGTCGTTTTGTGGATGAACACAGTGGGGCCTTACCACAATCGACAGGAGACATACAAGTACTTCTCTTTGCCCTTCTGCGCGGGCTCCAAGAAGACCATCAGTCATTACCATGAAACACTTGGAGAGGCTCTGCAGGGAGTGGAGCTGGAATTCAGCGGCCTCGACATCAAGTTCAAAGGTGATCTTCAGTTACACATTAACTTGTTGTCGCTTCTGGGCCAATGGGAGCATTCGGATTATACTTTTCCACTCGTCTATTCATCCGTCTATTCCTATTCCACAGCTGACTTTCTAACTAACGTGTGATCTCTGACCCTCTGCAGATGAGGTCATGCAGACAACATACTGTGAAATTGACTTGGACAAACCCAAACGGGATGCCTTTGTCTATGCCATCAAGAATCACTACTGGTACCAAATGTACATAGATGACCTTCCCATCTGGGGTAGGTGATACTTTTTATTTATTTAAAGCAACTTGAGAGATTTCGGACTGCTGAATACGTGTGTTCCGAGGTATTACTGCAGTGTTTTCTGATTCAGTCCATCTTTGTCTACCTTTCTGTCTGTTATGAGTTACTTATCTGCTCCTCAGCTCAACGGAGCCGTAGTAATGTTTGCAGTGACGCTGTACTTTGGATATCCAGTGTGTTTTATTTTGATATTGGACTGGTACGCAAGGTCTTATTCCAGGTTGTGATTGTCAGTTCGTCCCTGGCCATTTGCTCGACGTGTAACTAGTTACTAATGTCATGTACGAAATGGCTCACTGACTATTTAGGACTTCAGCATTTTTATTTTTCTGCTCGGAATCTGTTGAACACTGTCAAACTCCTGTTCATTAGCTGCTGTCTTGTCTGGGTGTTGTTATACTGTAGAGAGCTGCACACATTAGATGGAATACATGAAAGTACTGCATCATACATTTGTTTTTATTGAATTTAAATGCCAGGATGACTTAAAAATGTGATTTGTGATGCGAAAAGAAGGGCATGCCTTTATTTAAACTAATGTTTTGTTTTATGAATCCAGCTTGGTGTAACAAATCAAAACTGTTCTCACTAATTAGTCTTTCAACCTGTGGCGGTGCATTTACAGAAAAAAAGCTTTGCACATGAACTTTGACTGTGAAGGTCCTCCATTGTTGTTTGCCAAGAAACGTGTTCATTAGCCTCTTTCATTGACTTAATCCTGAGCCAACAAGTGGTCCGTGTGTGTGATCCCTTGTGTGGTACAGTTGTGTCACTCCAACAGTTGCTCAAATACAATGTTTGTCAGTAGTGGGTGGGGCCATTCTGAAAGTGAACACTCAATCACAATGAATAAATATAGACTTTGACCTCATGTCCGGTTTGCCAGCGTGGTTACGGAACCTGTGCGCTTTCCATGTTTGAATCACCGGCGTTTAGTCGGGGTTATTTGCAGAGAGCCTGGAGCAGCAGATCTCTAGCAAATCACTTTATGAACACGGCACATAACAGCGGCACTAACAAAGTGTCTTCAGTTCGATTCAGCCCACCCAAGTTTGGTAAGCTAGAATACAAATAATGCCGTAGCTGCTAGCAATGCTTTATTCACAAACCGTGTCGATCTCCTTAAAGAGGCACCGGTATATTGAGAGATTTATGGGAAAACTTTCTCATTAGTGTAACATCTGCTGCCACACGGGAATTGAATTTCTTGATGAATATTTAAATGATTTTCCATGCAGTGGAGACCCGGAGTATAAATGTACTGCATGCAGACTTGGAATAACAGGGAGCCAGTCGGTATATTTAGAGTGTTTAATATCAAACTGACATTGTCCACGTTGGCCAGCATTATCTGCAAGACTGAATCCTACAGATGCAATCCTTACGAAGCTAATGAGCAGTGTTGCAACTAGCAAAGCAGTTTATTTTACATTCACACACCCTGATTGAACAGAAGACTCATTGTTCACACCTGCCTGTTTCACCGCTGCTTTAAAGAGCAATTCTCAAATGGTTTGTCAACTTTATTTAAAGGTATTGTTGGTGATGCGGATGAAAACGGAGAAGATCATTACCTGTGGACTTACAAGAAACTGGAGATTGGCTTCAATGGAAACCGAATTGTGGACGTTAATCTGACCAGTGAAGGCAAAGTCCGTCTTGTGCCAAACACAAGAATTGCAATGTCTTACTCTGTGAGTACTGCATGATCTACGCATTGCTCGTGTGTGTGTACCAATGTTCCCCCTTGGTTTACAGCCTTGTACTGTAATGGGGTTCTGATTATGTAACCATGCCAACCTTTCCTACCACAGGTGAAGTGGAAGAAGTCAGATGTGAAGTTTGAAGACCGATTCGACAAGTACCTTGATCCGTCCTTCTTTCAGCACAGGGTGAGTTGAATCTTACACAATTTATGTTTGTGGTTCATCGTGGAAGCCAAAAAGGCGTCGTACCTTGCTAAATGTGCTGTAACTTGGTTCTTACTAAGTTGTTACTCCATGTTTTTACACACCTCAATTGTCCATTTGGTTTATTTTGATGTAATAACTTCATGACAATATCTGGATTCATTTTAATTTTAGATTCATTGGTTCTCCATCTTCAACTCCTTCATGATGGTCATTTTCTTGGTGGGTCTGGTGTCCATGATTCTGATGAGAACACTAAGAAAGGATTACGCCCGATACAGCAAAGAGGAAGAAATAGATGACATGGTAAGGTTTTGTTTTTTTATCCACTCAGCCGTTTTTGCTGCAATGAGCACGTTTGTTATTTGCTGAATGTAAAATTGTGAGCTGGATTAAAATCATTGTTTTCTTAAAAACCCCATTTCTTGTCATTCCCTCACTGTACCATCAGGACAGAGACCTGGGAGATGAATACGGGTGGAAGCAGGTGCATGGGGACGTGTTTCGGCCGTCAAGCCACCCGCTGATCTTTTCTTCGCTCATTGGCTCCGGCTGCCAGATCTTCTCCGTGTCGTTCATCGTCATTGTTGTTGCCATGGTCGAGGATCTGTACACAGAGTGAGTGGTCGGCATTTAACCGCCTGGTTGTCACTAGTTGTTGTTGTGGGTTTGTTGGTCAGGTGCCACGTTCCATTTTGAATCTAAATAGTAGAATAAGTTGATCCATCAAGCCCTGAGTCTAATGAGTCTTATAAATTAAAACATGTTGCCTTTTGAAATGTGTGATTCATTAGGAATGCCTCTATTTTAAGTGCTGAATCAAATTGGATTTTAAACAAACAACAATCTGAAACTTATGTTTCCTAAGGGAAAGAATCATAGGAAATATTAAATATTATTTGTGTGCAAATGGGGGGGAAACCGACTTCACAGGGCTCAACTCACATGATTTTCCTCTGCAGGAGGGGATCCATGCTGAGCACCGCCATTTTCGTGTACGCTGCCACCTCCCCAGTCAACGGCTACTTCGGGGGGAGCTTGTATGCAAAACAAGGAGGTGACAAAGATTTACAGTCCACGGATCACATTCTCTTCTCTCTAGATGGGCTATTGGCCTCATTTCCTTTCAAAATTGTAACTCTCACACAATTTTGTTTGTTTGTCTGAAAACTTCAGGGAGAAGATGGATTAAGCAGATGTTCATTGGGGCCTTCTTGATCCCAGCCATGGTGTGCGGCACTGCCTTTTTCATCAACTTCATCGCCATGTACTACCACGCCTCCAGAGCCATCCCATTTGGCACCATGGTGGGTTTGACATTGTTACACCTCCCTAAAAACAACATTGTTGTGAAGAACATCCTCAGAGTCAGCGGCTTCAGTTTCTGTGCGGCTGTGCTGCCTGGTTGGGAAAGTGATCTGATACAAAGGATCAGTGGAGCTGAAGTGATGGGAACAGTGTACAAAGTGCTCCGTTACACAGCTTTAAACTGCATCTCAAGTGGTGCTGATTCTTAAAAATATAGTTTCTGTGGTCAAGGGCAGAAAACATAGCAACATAAGATTGATCTTAAGGGTCAAGTAACTCCATTGAAATGAAATCACAAGAGTAAACCGTAAAACATCAAGAGCAGTTGCATTTATTCATCCAGCCTGAACGTCTTGTTTTAACAACCACAAGCCTGAATATAGTCACTATTCCTCTGAATCAATGAGAGCCAGTGTTTGGGCATCTCTGTGAATCTGGAGATCCCGTTACCATGTGTGACAGCTGGATTCCCGGGATGTCAAGATGTCGCTCGGAAATCAAAGGATCACATACGGCTCAAAAATCCCCCATATCAGGTGTCCAGAAACGTGCCGCAGCCGGGACCAATGTGAGAGGCTGCTTCTATTTCTAGTGTGTGTGTGAGCTGTAAAAGGGAGGCGACTTTGTTGTAAACAACAATAGTGGCTCCCGAAGAGGTTGGTGAAGATGCTGCCATAGCATCGTTTATATCACAAGGGTATTTTGTCATTGGAAGAAGAACAAAGAACGGCTTTTGTACATGGAAAACATCTTCTCCCAACTGGCTTCAGCAGGAGTTCAAATTGACAGATGGTTCATCCCATAACCTGCTAACAATTTTTTTGAAAGATTTCCAATGATATCATCTGTGTAACAAAGCATCCGTCAGGTTAGAGACCCAGCGCCTCTTCAAACAACTCCTAACAGTCAATTTAATCTCTTTGAGCTGAACTAAACATTCCCGGGACGACTGAAATCTGAAATCGCCCTGGAAGTTTGAATAGTATATTAACAATGTTTGTTTGTGCAGGTTGCTGTCTGCTGTATCTGCTTCTTCGTCATTCTGCCGCTAAACCTCGTGGGAACAATTCTGGGGAGGAATCTGTCCGGACAGCCAAACTTCCCCTGCCGAGTGAACGCTGTGCCGAGACCCATTCCCGAGAAGAAATGGTAAGCGAGGCCCCACACAGGTTCAGTCTCTGGATGTGCTCAAAGTGCACAACAATTATAACGTACTACACGCGCATTCTTCATACTGTATCGTAGTACTGGGACAAACTATTATTTGAATAATTGACATATGCTCATTCATTTCATTGAACTGCCCAAAAGAATCCATCCAAAATAAACAAAAGTCAAAATGACGTCTTTATGCTTAATTGTTTTTTTTATCAACACCCAAATGATATAAATCTTAAATGATATTGAACAGCGAAGAAAAAAGGCAATTTTCTTTTTACTAGATAAATGAATGCAATACATGATCAGTGGTTGGTCATCTGGCACGCATCCAGGGTGTCCATCGTAGTGGAAAGTGCAATGACTGATCAGTGGGCAGCGAGGACGTTGGTCTCGCTGCCTAAAATGAATACTACGTGTTCATGTGCTCCACAAGTAGTGAACGGCATTGCTGTCCAAACGCACTCTCCAGGGAATGAAAAGCATCAAAGCAGTAGTCTGGGTGTATTAACGTTTGCAGCGCTCTGCCAAGCGCTGTGAGAGGCTGCCAACAGAAATGGAAGATGTCTCTCGCACCACCTGCGGGGGGGGGTGTGACCAGTTGTAAACAGAGTTCAATGAGCACCGAATCACACGTTGAACCTTGTGTGTCAGGTTCATGGAGCCGGCCGTCATCGTCTGCCTCGGAGGAATCCTGCCCTTCGGCTCCATCTTCATTGAGATGTAAGTCCGGCTGTGACGCCGAGGAGCTTGTATGTTGTGAGAGGATCTCTGCGGCCGCTGACGCCTCGATTCTTCTTCAGGTACTTCATCTTCACGTCCTTTTGGGCGTACAAAATCTACTACGTGTACGGCTTCATGATGCTGGTCCTGGTTATCCTGTGCATCGTGACGGTGTGTGTAACCATCGTGTGCACGTACTTCCTGCTCAACGCTGAGGACTACAGATGGTGAGCGGCCTCCTGTTTCTCCAACTTCTTGCCACTAACCCTTCCAGCACAGTACCACTATTATTTCAATGTCTGGTTACGACCGAAGCCTCGATCCTTTGACTCGGCTGTTCAGTACAGCCTTAAAGGACACTACGTTCGCACAGGCACTGAAGTAAGGTTCTTGGGAGTATTATACAAACATAACTATTCTCATACAATATAGTCATTTTAATATAAATACATGTTACACAGAGCCTGTATCACATCCTTGGGCGGATGTCAGGTCAGTCTAGTAAAGTCCAACCTTGTTAATCCCCTTAAAATGTGGCGCATTAAAGCGTGGGCGTGTCATTTTTTGAGTCACCTGGTAATACTCGTTGACCTGACCTCAGTCCCTAAACAGTCAGAATTTATAATGTTCAAAAAGGGCCACTTGTCACATGATCGGTTGCTAACTGTTTACTAACTTTCACCTTCCCTTCTTTCCTAGGCAATGGACAAGCTTCCTCTCTGCAGCGTCCACGGCGGTTTATGTTTACATGTACTCCTTTTACTACTACTTCTTCAAAACTAAGTACGTTTTAGACTTCTATGCACATACAAGTCTCATATTGGGCAAAACACTTTGCACTGATGACACAAACGTAATCTCTGGCTTTGCTCACATGTGGTTTTATTTCTGCTGTATTTCAGGATGTACGGCCTGTTCCAAACGTCCTTCTACTTTGGCTACATGGCTGTGTTCAGCACTTCTCTAGGAATCATGTGTGGTGAGTCCCACTTCTAGTAGTTGGACTGCTGTAGGAGACTCGTGAACCCTCGACAAATAATGTTCACAGAATTCAGCTTTTATAAACTCCAGTCATAGAACAGGGGATGCGCAATGTCTTTTTTTACGTGGCACGCACTTCCTCACACAGTGCGCCCCCAGTGGACTGATTAGGGACAGCAGCTTTATTTATAACATACCGGCTGTGGAGCTCTTAATAGTAATCAGATATTATCCTGTCGGGTTTGGTTCGCAGGCTTTAAGTGTGGTATGAAAGAACCTACGGTTACCTTAATGTGTATTTATACTGTACTGTACTATTTGCCCAATTGGGTAAATGCTTCTACAAAGGCCGTGTTAGAACAAAGCAGCCCGTGATTTAGACGGTAGGTCATCAAAGGGGACACTCATGGAGATTGATGCAAGAATATTACACAGCCGGTGGTGGTATTTTAGTTTTTCCCTATTGAGCGAGGCAGACTTCATGACGGGTGGACGAAAGGTGAGCTTTATCTCGCTTAAACCTTTGGTTGGATACCTAAAACGTTAATCATTCAATTCATCAGGCGATGGATGCACGATCAAATTGAGAGAGGAGCGATAACACTCCCAAGAAACTCACCGAGCACGTTTCTTTTCCAGGTGCCGTGGGATACGTGGGAACAAGTGCCTTTGTGAGGAAGATCTACACGAATGTGAAAATTGACTAGAAGGCAAAGTAGCAACTTAATGGATTGGCCTACATGTATCCTGGAGGACGGCAGGCACAAGTCATTCTTTATTACTTTTCTTTCTTGCGAAGACATTGTGAGAATCTCACTTTGTACGATGTAGGTTTTTCCATTTTCTGAATGAATTTCAACGCAGCGTCTAAGAACATGAGCAAACCTGCTGAAGAGAAATCCAACATAAGGTTCTGTTTTTATCAGTTGCTTTCAAACAAACATTAGGGCAATGTTTAAGGCTGACATGGCTTCTCTTTTCCCACCCAGTCCCACCTGAGAGCAGAGAACACGCGTGTTTATTGATGGAATAGTGTAGCTCTCTTCAGTGAAGAGGCCTGAGTGTACTGAAAGCCTTTGTTCTACTGGGTCATAATGTTGGGGGGTTGGGTTATGGCCCGTGTTCTGACCCGATCTCTATTTTGTATTCTTGTGAGTCATTCGAAATATCGTTAATCCACAGTAGAGCCGATAGTTTTCTGATTTACTTCCACTGCAAAATATGATATGAAAAATTGTCACTCAAGAATTATTCCCCCATTTTGCCGATTCTTGATTCTCTATTACAGTAGCAATCCATCCAGTTGTTGAGGGAGGTTTTAGTCTTGCTGTAGTTTACTGTACAGACGAGAACAGAGGGACTGATCCGTGGTTGAGGTACAGTAAGGACCGATTTTTAAATGGATGTTGGATGCGATCCAATTTCCCCGTTTAGTTGGGATTTTCTTAATGTTTGGGTTTGAATGAAGTCTACTTGTAAAGATAATATATGGATGGGTGGGAGTGTATATAACCTTAATGTACCTTTAGATGTAGATCCCAAATGTATTTTCGTTGTACAGATTTACTACAGGGTGTTTCTTTTCTTTTTTTTAATGAATCATTTAGTTCTAAACAAAAAGCTTTTTTTTTTCTTCCTTTTGGTGCTTGGGACGGGCTGGTGGCGCTGTTACATCTTGCCTGAAATTGCATGAAGTTTTCACCAAACCATCTGCTCCTCACTTCAGTCAGTGCTGTCAGGTTTCAGTTAGGTTTTTTTCCCCCAGCTTTCAAAATGTAAATGTACATTTTGATGACTAGTAGGCCTGGTTATGGACACTTATTTTGATTTGATATATTATTTAAAAGCTTTAAAAGGCTCTATGTCTTCTGGTAAGCCATTTTCCTCATGTTCTTTATGTTGCCTAACCTGAAACATAATTTGTGAATGTCAGAAGGAATGAGGCGATTCCGCAAACATACTGTACAAAGTGAAGTTTATGTACACTTAGAAACTAGATGTTTTCATAACCACACAGTGCTGCGGAGTGTTTCAAACGCTTTTCTCCATTTTGTGTAAATACAGTATGTACTCTACTTGTATGAGAAATGGCGATGCCTTTTTTTCCCCCTTCCAATTTCTAGTTTCCCCCCCACTGAAGTTGATTTTGGCACCTCATATTGTGTACTGATGTCTGATTGGGCATTTTGAACCGCATAATAACTTGCTGTAAAAAGAGAAAATAAACATGTTTATGTACAGGGGTTATTCATTGTTGTTTTGACCTTGACGATCAATAATTAGAACTGAATTATTACATTTGTTGTTCTGAAGACGTGGGCTGAATTTGACGCCAAAAGTGTTGTGGGGCAGAACCAGTTGATGCAGGCATACATCTCACCTAAGTTACTGAAGAACACGGCAATTCAAAGTGAGTTTCTTGGCCGCGGTAAAAATATGTACTTGTGGATGTCATTCCTGATGTCAGCGTTTTTCTGGCTTTTCTCGTCTAGTCTTCAATGAAATACTTGCACAATAATTTATTTTGAGAGTAATAATCCTAAAATAGTTCTGGATAGCATGAAAACTGTCAAGTAAATATGGTAGAGCATGTGTAGAAGATCAACGGGTCAAAGGATAGTCTTTAGAAAAACTTTGTCATGGTACCTACAGTGACGCCTTATGCTAAAATGTTTTTCCTCAATTCTACACACAACACCCCATAATGACAGGCTGTTATTAATTTAATCTGCCATTAATTTATAAATTATTGGTCACAACCTCATTGAGGTGTAGAATTTTATTAGATGGCAGAAGCTCAAACTTTCGTAATATCCCAACTTTTCATGCAGCTGGAACAGTGCGGGTACCAGACTACAGAAATATGGTCAAATTGAGCCTCTGAGTGAAGGGATATAGCGATTGTCCCTCTGTGGCTGTCTGCTGTAAAGCTCAAATCTCACGCCCTTTATTTCAGCAGATGGGAAATCAAAGAACGCACATGACAGCAGCTCTTTGTGGCCTTTTTATGTCTCAGGACCGCTGGGCCCGAGACATAAAAAGGCCAAACGTTTGCATCGGCTCCTGAACAGTACCTTCGACTTGGCTGTGTGGTGAAACTACAGTGTGAAGCAGTTTGTGCGAGAGCCTGTTGAGAAAGATGCAAGCGATCACACCAGCGGCCAAGCAGTCAACCTGCTGGACAGGCATGTTTCAATGGGCACTTCACTAGTTCAAAGGCATCTGTGTGTTGTATTTATCATCAGCTGTTCCTGGACTGACACCCGGGTCTTACTTCTGGTGCTGAGCTTTGGGTTGGATCCAATCCCAGCTGACATTGGTTCACCCCGGACAGCTTAAATAATACAACAATATCTGGCACATAAATCAAAACAAAGCGCTGCCATTTACAAAGAATGCTTTATTAGTGCATTCAGCTGTATGGGAGTAAATACAATGTAGAAACTATACACTAATAATGTTCATATACTTTCTTCAGTTGACTTTTTCAAAGTACTCCTTGGATCCTTGCGGCGTTGGTTTGATCTGAAAAAACAGACAAAAATAAGTTGGAACGGCTTTACCGTACACACCACTGAAGACAAACGGTCCCTATGCTGGATTGGTTGACGAGGACACCGGGTCACAAAAGAACTCACCGTCGGGGACTCGGGGGTCCAGCTGGCCGGACACACCTCCCCGTGCGTCTCCACGAACTGGAACGCCCTGACCAACCGAAGCGTCTCCTCTACACTACGGCCCACCGGAAGGTCATTGACGCTCATGTGTCTCACCACGCCGTTTGGATCAATGACAAACAGGCCCCTGAAAGACATCAAGCATCTTCTTCAGCAACGCCCATCTTCACAAAAGTCAAATTAAATCAAGGTGAAACAGTACGAGCGGTATGTTGAGAAGCAGCAGAACTAAATAGCGGTAACTCACACATAGAAGCACATAGAAAGTTTTTCTATGTGCTTTGATTATTGAAGGTTTGGCTTTCTGCAACCAATCAACAGAAGGTACCATATTTGGAATGTACGGTAATGAAATCCCATTAAGGCTGCCCTGAAACATCCGTGCTTTATGGTCCATTTGACCCTAAAGAACCCTTAATTTACCGTCATTTCCATTTCCTGTAACACCAATAGTGAATAGAACACCTCAAGCCCGCGATGAACGTACCGGAGCGCGATGCCCGCCCCCTCCAGCAGCACCCCGTAGTCCCTGGAGATCTGTTTGTTGAGGTCCGACAGGAGGGGGATGTGGATGTTTCCCAAGCCTCCAGTCTGAGAAAAACGCAGTGAAATACTTGTTAGAATAACGACGACACAACCGCTGTTGATCGTAACGCTTTTCAGACGTGCAGTAATCTGCAGCTCGGTCATTTATTGCCCACTCGAAAGCACAAAAAAAGGGACAGTCTTGAACTGTGCACCATTGGGTTGTTACTGAATAAATATTATTGAATGAGGTAGAGAACCTTGCGTGGTGTGTTGGTCCATGCCAGGTGGGTGAAGTGCGAGTCCACGGACACGCCCACCACCTCACAGTTTATGTCGTGGAACTCATTGGCTTTGTCGCTGAATGAGATGATCTCCGTTGGACACACAAAGGTGCTGCAATATGACAAAGACGAAAATCAAGTGTTAGTGAAATATTTACCGACACAAGCACAATCTGTACACCTGGAGAGGACAGGGGAGCAAATGAATCATTCAACAGTGACCAAAGCACTGCTGGTCTTCAGTAGATGTACGTCACTCAATCTGCATTTCAATGAAAGGGAGGCATCATGTTGTTCTCTTTGTGCACGTCACAAATACTCACAAATCCAGTGGGTAGAAGAAGAGGACCAGGTATTTGCCCTTGAAATCAGCGAGGCTCATTTCCTTGAACTCCCCATTGTGGACAGCTGTGCCCTTAAAGTCCGGCGCAGGCTGAGTGACACCAGGACTCCACCAGGAAGAGCCTGATATAGTAAACACAAACATAACTCATCCGTGCAAAACCAATCCACCGCCTCACTTCACACGTGAAGAGAACTTGAACGGACTACAGGAACTCTTCACAGTGGAGTTGAAAACGGCGTCTAACGGCAAATGCAAACCACTGTGGAGGTAATTAAAATCAACGTAAACTGCACAATACCTTCAGAAGCAAATATGACAAGAATTAAATAATATCAACTACAAATACATTCTGATGTGGCTTTATAAGTCGATTGTCAGTTTATTGCCATAAACATCTATTAGAATATTTCCTATGTGATGATACATATAGCTGCACATTGGTAACAAATGAATATATATATATATATAAAAAATATAGCTGCTGCATCAGTTGAATCACAATCACAAAGCTATTATCAAAATAGTTAATTGATATATTTAATTTCTGAGATCTATCTGATCAGAAGTCCACGGCACACGGTCCAACTTTAGCTTCGTACGTACTGGTAGAGAAACAGGCTCTCTGGGGGGACGGAGCGCTGAGGATTCTTGCAGCTCCGGATGCTCCGTGTGGACCGGCTGCTGAGACCTTCAATGCTCCTGCTGCAACCTTCGCCTTTAAAAAAAACATACAGACATCAATCCAACATGAATGATCCACAAATACAAGAAGAAATTGTGCACACGGACAAAGTAATGAAGTTTCATTCTTGTGACATCGTTTTATTCTAATGAACCTAATGTTAACTAAAACCTCATCAGAGATACAGTTTTGATAGTTATGGATACAATGTTTACATTCTGTATTATATATTGGATATTTGTAAATATAAATTTAATTTTTAATATAAAAAAGGAAAACAGGACATCCAAAACGTTCTCATCGCATAACTTCCGCATAATTCATTTGAATTCACTTCATGTCTTGTTTGCAAGTCATTTTTAGCTACTCGGTGAGGGGAGACTTTCCTCAGTATGATCCTACTAACTATTTATTTTACTTCTGCAGTTCTGACTGCCAAGCCAACAAACTAAAGTAATACTTCATTGTAAATATGTTCCAGAAAATATTTTAAAATTTTGATAAAAGTGAAGGACTACGTCTAAAGTAAATCAACGGTGAAATCACAGCAGGTGGTTTTGCATCCGCCGGGCAGAAGACCTGCTGTGAGTAATTAGTAACAGGTCTTCAACAGCAGGAAGGACACGATGAGCCCTGCTGGTCTCACGTGGACTCCCTGTTGTCTCTGTCCCCGTAAGGCTAACCTTCTACAAGTAAATAACCATTTCGTTCCTTCAAAAGAAGCATTGTAGTTAGTAACCTACAAGGAAACGCTGCTTTTGGTTGTTCCCTTAGCAATTGTGACAGAAACCGCGCTGACCGCTCAACACCCGCAATGACTTGTAAATGACAGTTGGTGCAAAACCGCGGCCGCGGACCAGAGGTTTGCCCCCGTGGTTGAAGGTGCGACATATGGTTCGCGTCGGCGTAGCCGGAGATTATTCATCGTTGCCCGCTACCAACTCTAGCTAATTACTGCAAACGCAACACCTCGTTAAATTGACGCTATGTCACGCAGCATGAAGTTAACTCACAGAGGTCCTGAGCAGTCGCCCCATGGTGGCCGCCATTTTGGATTATGTGAGAGGGCGGATTTAGCAGGTTGTTACGTCATTGACGCACATTTATACAATGTACTCTGTACTCATCACTTGTGTGATATTATGCACCAATGACAGTAGTCGACCGGTTCAAATGCTGCTTTAACAACTAGAAAACGAGACTATAATGCTGCCTTCAGGTGCATGTGAGGTCTTCAGAATTCTTTTTTAATCGAGATTGAAGTAAAATACACATATTCTTGCAAGCAATGGGAAAATAACCGAAAACGATATGCTGCATCATAATAGCTTAAATGTTGTCTTATATATTTCTTTATTTTTTTAATTATAAAACACTTAATAAAAGAAAAAAAGAGCATTCTCTACATTCTGATATCCCCCAAAGGCAGCACACGCACGCCCACAGCGGACCACGTGGTTGAATGCGGAAGCGGGTTGTAAATAGAACTTGACCTCAAAAGCGCGAAATACACGCTTGTTAAACGTGTTCTGTCGTGGCGTTATTGTACGTTACTTACTATACGCGACGTTAATGTACTCGTGGTTCTAATGGATCCTAATCTGCTGTTCTGGAGGAGCGAGGGTCAGGTACCCGTCTACAACTAATATGATAACCATCATATATTGAATCAATGATTGAATGAAATATATCATGTACATCACGTGTTTCATCATCAGTGATGATATTTCATTCAATCAATGATATTGTCTACTATCTTTTTCAATGCGGCTGCTCCTTTGCTCCCTTACAGTCGCTCCTCAGCCGGCTACAGATCTGGTTTAACCTCCTTGATCCTACTGTCCTGCTTTCCTCTGACGTGAGTAGCGTGGTCTCATGCTGAGAGGAGGGCAAGATCATGTGCTTAATGTGGGTTTCTCCTCAGGCTGAAATAAAAAACGCCCACGTTCTTCTTGGAAGTGGACAGAAGTTAAATGAAAAGGTTGGTTTTGTTTTTAAGGATCTTAATCATCTTTATGAACCTGCGATAATTGTATTGAAAGCCGTTTGTTCTGTTTCTTGCTCCAGGATGGACACGCACAGACCCTCTCACTCGTAAGTCTTGCAGGAAATAAGTAACTAAGATGCCGTCTCTGAATAGATCTGAATTCAGCTGTAATTAATGACAGCCCCTCTTAGGTTGGTTCATCTTAATACTGTTGTGTGGATCAGAGTCTGATTTTTGCCTTCAGACACATTTATCTTTGAATATTTATAAAAAGAGAACATTTCCTTAATTGAGAATGCATTTTTCATGTGTTTATATCTGACAGTTGAATGTGTTATATGTGTCCATGAGTTGGGACTTTAACGCGCTGCTCTGTGTTTACAGTCGTCCGTCCACGCCGACTCTGGCGCTGTTCTTCCACTCATTTTCCGCCCTCCAGGTAACTAGGAGGTAGTTAATTTATGTCCGCAACAGGTATAGACTCTAAAAGGGCAGTAAAATGTACAAAAATACCAATCCCATCACTTCTGTCATTTTCTTTCCAGCACTGATGCCAATATCTGCTCCTCTGGTACGTTTGTTATCCCATGAATCTAAACTGACACTTGGTTCGTTATGACTATGTGAAACAAACATCTTTTTCAGGTGGTTGCCAGCCTTTTACCACACAGCAGCGTCAAACCCGCTTTGTTTTGGCAGGTATGGAGTTATGTTCATCATATTGAAAAGATTAAAAAAAGTTTACATTAATACTGACATAATCTGGATTATTTCAGTTTTTGCTGCATAGTTATAGTGCTGGGTTCAACTATGCAAACAGAAACTCTTCATCGGAGGAGGTAATACATTAAATATATATTTATATATACATACATACACACAGAAACAATGTATGCATTTTCAAACATGGGTTTCTGCCTCTCTTGATTGTCTTTATCTCTCCCCTGCAGAGCAACAACACGTCTTTGAAACAGCTGCTGCTGATCGCTGGGACCGTTTCCTATGCAACATGTGCAGGGGTGTGTAAGACCTGATTGAACTATTGTGCCTTGTCGATTTAAAGTTCACTTGAAACACTACAAAGTTTGAATTAAAAAAAATGCTTCTTCTTTTCCTTCATTTATTTCAGGCCCTTCCTCAAATTTTCATCAACCGACTTGGTGTAAGGAGCGCACCAATCCAAACTTTGTTTAGGTCGATACTACCGATCCCACTCTGCGGCAAGTATTTATCTCGGAAACGTAAAAATACTTTATCAAGAGCTCGGCGACAGTGTGTCATACATCTGAATCCTTTTACATGCCAGATATCACACAAAGCCAGACACCAAATGCTCCATTGTTTGCTGATGTTCTTGTGATTTAATAGTGAATGAGCCAGCGTGCGTCCCGTACTAACTCCATGTTGTGTGACTCTCTCCAGCTGTGCTGGCCTTCTTCAATGTGTACATTGTCAGAAGCGGGGAGTCAGAAAGTGGGATCCAAGTGTTCGACCCCAATGGAACTCCTGTCGGCCTCTCTAAGGCAGCGGGAGACAAGGTAAAACGGCAAATGCACCAAAATAGCTCTACTCGTTGAAAACAAGCAGCGTTACGCATTTATCTTTTTGTTCAGGCTGTGAGGGAAACCGCATTGTCAAGAGCGGCACTGTTTGGTACAACCGCTGCTGTTCCTAATCTCCTGCTTTTGCTCCTACAGAGGTCAGGCCCTTTGTTTTTTACATTTAGCTCACCTGGTCAAATGGTCAGACTTCACCACGTAGATTTCCCTTCACAGAACCAGACTTTTCCAGAGGAGCGCTCTGCTGGCCGCTCCAGTCCGGCACATCAGCGTCGCCTTGGTTCTGGGGATGATGATCCCCGTCTCGTTCAGTCTCTTCCCGCAACTGGGAACGGTAAGACTCGCGATCCTGCGGCACGGCGGCGTTTTTCCACGCGAAGAACTCCGCTGACGTTGACCTCGTTTTACAGATCGAGAAGGACAACGTGGAGGAGGAGCTGCAGGCCGCAGCGGACGGGGGGCCGTTTTACTACCACAGAGGACTCTGAGCAGCAGTTTCACGTGGAAACTAAATCAAAATCCATGATGCCGTCACTGGACGGGGGGACGGGGACAGTAAACGTCTTCTTTGACATCATGTCGCTGAACGTGAACCATATATGTGACAGAGTGCATTATGGTTCTAAACTGTTAAAAAAACAAAAAACTTTTTGATAGTAAATTTATTTTGCTGGAATATTCCATGTTTTCATACATATGAAATATTACATCAATCCATGAAAATACATTTAGTTTTCAAAGTTAGATTTTACATTATATCTATGTATTGCACTCGGTCTTATCTGGAATACTGTGGCCCAAAATCATCATCTTGGCAATGTGGTTGAACGTGTACTAATTACACATTGATTAGTAAACCTGACGGTACGACGCAGTAAAGATATGAGATATAAATCAACGTGGACACGGAAGCACCAGTTGTTATTTGATCAGCTGCAGATTGATGAGAAAGTTATTCACCGTATAAAAGTTCAAGAACAAACACCTTTTTTGTAATTGTGTCAATAGTAAAATACAAAATGACAGTTTAAAAAAATGGCTATTGCAGTTGTGATCTGATACCCACATAATGCAGTTTGTTACACCGCAGACGTTTCAGCTGGTCACTGTGTACTATGAGGGGCGCAGGTACGCATGGATGATGCGTGTGAGCACTGTGGAGTGAGAGCTTACATCTGGAACGCACCAGATGTTCCCAATGAGAGCGACAAACACTGGCTCGTTATTAGAGGACAAAGCAAGCATTATCTAGGACTTTAATTTGATTTGCTGACAGTCCAAAACAGTCAAATGAGCAGCAGCTCATCCGCCTGTGACTCCGAGCTCACGGGTTCACGCTGAAGGCAAACAAGACAGTAATATGTGCTCTCATTTTAAACAAAAAGACCGGCCATTTCTAAAAACGGCTGGTCACTTATCATTTTTAGTAAATGTAATCTCAAACAGTGCATTTGCTGAGAGCTATTTTCAGCGTTTGATTAATACACATTTGTTGATGACTCTAAACTGACCACTGTGGCCATTTCACATTTGACAACCGTTTTATATCCGTAAGAGCTGCTCAGCAGCCGCCAAATGAAAGAGGAAGTTCTCTGTGGCCGGAGGGAAATGATGCTGCTTTAAACCTTCCAGTGTGATTTTAGAGTCTTCACATTTGTCAGCAAGGGCCATTAAGTTGGCAAGGATCTCTTTTGTCTTGACAGAAATATCCTGTGAATGGATGTGTGATCATCAGGTTAGATTCAGGACCACTTAAGAACATTTGGGGTTTGAATTATGGGCATTTGAGCTTCGTGGAAACACTCACCTTAATGACCTGACTATCTGACCTCTCGGCGTCCTCTGCAGACTGGACAATAAGGTGGCCGATGTCCTTGTGCAACTTCCCCATCGCCATAGACTCTGTGGTGGGATACTTAACATGAGTCCGAGGGAAACGCTGCCCAACACGCTAAGGAACATACTGCGCGCTCGCTGTGATCACACCGTACCTTTGGCACTCTGGGATACCGTGATGACGCCGTCTGGCAGGTTCACGTACACATCGAACAAATCCAATCTGTTGCTCACCTCCGGATCCACAAAACCTGCTACATATCCTGCAGAGAGAGCCAAAGTGTTATAAGGTGCATAAACAATTAACTTCCCCACCAGTGCAGATGGCGGCTGAGCCCCGACTGCGAGCAGGCGGAGTGAGAGTGAATAAAGGCGGAGGCAGCCTCACCGGGGCATTTCTTGAGATCCTCTAGTTCAGGATCACTCAGGTGCACATACGGGTGCAGGATGGACCAGTCCTTCCTGTGCCACGTCAGAGTCGGCAGCACTCTGAGAGGAAGCACAGATTGATTTGAGTTTGTCCTTCCAGACAATTATTTTTGGAATTTTAGGTCCTCAATGCACCTTGTAAACTCCAACAGTGCTTCGATCCGAGGGTGATGGACGATGATTCTCTTCTTCAGCATGAGGGCGGTATACAGGATTATGGTCTCCATACCAAACTGAGACACCACATCTAAAGATCGGAATGCATGAGAGTAAACTGACCCACTTTCACACAGAAAGAGCTCTAGAATGTGGTTGAACCTTGATCCATTTCAGTTCAGTTTGTCAGCATTAGATTGTGGTTATTCACTGCAAGCAAGTGCTTAAACATCAATATATTTTTGTAATGACACCCTTGTAGGACTTATGTGACGGTTGCTTTCATTGTCTCCTGAAACAACAAAACTGTCTTGGATTTCTGCATCAACACCAGAAATGTCACCGAATTCCTGCTTCATCATCTTTGATTTCTTACCTTTAACGGAACCAGCCAAGTACGCTTTACGAACATCATAATCTTTAATAAGAAATGAGCCATTTTCATCACTCTGGCACATTCCTTTAGTGAGGACGGTGACATACGCCTCCATCATCTTCACCGGGCTGCCGTGTTTGATGTACATCCTTGATAGACAAAAGCATACCGCTCAGATGAAGAACAGACGATCTTAAAAGTGCACAAGCCGTTATATTTGAGCTGAACACTTTACCTGCAGAGTATTCGACTAAGTGCAGCATACTTCTCAGGGTTGAAGTCTTTCGCTGTAACTACTATTGAAAAATGGGTGACCTTGAACGGAGAAAATGGAAGACATGAACAGAACAGAACTCTAAATATTATATACAAAAGCTGCACGCTGGCCTTTCCTTGCTTTAACTGCGGCAGAGCCTCCGGACGCTGTACCTTGTTTAGCGCTGTGGGTTCCTGCACCTCCACGGTTGTGATGTAGTACCAGGTGCGGCAGAACTGGCCGAACACAAAGGTGTGGAAGTCCCGGGCGTCCTGGGTCAGGCAGCACTTGCTGAGCAGGACTTTCCTCAGGTCTGAAGCCACAGAGGGGAAGCACCACACCCACAGAGTGTCTCCATTCACATCTTTCTCTGGGCACGGGAAGACAAACCAAAGCTGCACATTATGTGTAGTCAAAGTGACGGAGATGGACACATACAAAAGATGTCCTCTGACAGGGGGCCGTGAGCCCTGCTGATGAAACACTGATGTCATGTGATTCTCCGAAACGTACAGGGGCGTCAACCGAGCGGCAAGAAGCGACATGCGAGCCGAAACTTACCGATCAATCCGACGCTTAACATAAACTGCGTTTCAGTTGCGGCCATATTCCATACGTTACCTGAAAGAGTTCAGAGTCACACATTAACTGCACATGACACACCAGCCGTCTCCATCTGCGCACGCGAAGTTAACCGTAAGGTACCTTGAGAGCTCCGACTCAGTCCAAATGTGACGCTACGGGCGGTGACACTAACGTGGGTAAAAACTTTCCAGTGGGTCTGGGTGAGATTTACGCTTGTCAACAAACCGTCCTCCCTTCTGTTAAAACCTCTTCCTTCTTCCGGGACTGACGGGTTGTGCTAGAGGAGAAAAGCCGTTGACAACCAATCATATAGCTCGCGGTACCTCTGACGTAGTGGGGCGTTCTCGGTCACCGAAAGTATACGACCATGCACACCGGATTAAAATGAAAACTCGCGAAATGACAGCCAATGCTGCTGCTTACACATTTGGATGGGTCAGTCAAATATTGTACATCAGCTGATACACCGGTGCTATTTAAAATACAGAAAGCAATACGTCTATAGGTTTCTAATGTACTGATTTCTTAATTGAATTTGACAGGCTAAAGCAAAATATGCAATGTCTCACACACATCACAATACTTTCAGCCTGATCCTAATATTAAAGATCTATTGTTGCTTACTGTCGTGTGAAACAACATGAACATTTGAATATGCAGTTGAGTAAATGGTATGCCCGACATGGTTTGATTAACGTTTAACGAGGGTTACCAGAACGCACCATTGGTGGCCAGTATACGGGAACTTTGTACAAGCTGAGCTGCCAGGTTTGTAGAAACCCCCATTTATAGGTTTAGCGGGGTATAGGTCTCAAACTCTTATTTAGAAAACTCTATTTATTTGATACGTTTAAACAACATGGTGAAAACAACATTTTCACCAATAATACTAACTCAAACACATTAAACATACATTGAGAGAACAAAGACAAGATAAACCAACCATTGTATTGCTAGAAAAGAAATGACAAAATAAGTATAATCTTTGTAATTAAACCTTTATCGCATAGTTTAAAGTACCACTTATTTAACCGTTGTGTTGTGTTCATAGTTGTGTTATTCAGCCAGTGTTTGGGGTACTGGCTGAATTTGGGGTTTTCTAAACAAACCAGCGAATATATAATCATTCATAATAATTTGTGATTGTTAGTTTACACATTTCACATAGTAAGGTTGGATCACAATTAAGAAATAGAGCCATTGACACCCTAAATACGCATACATTAAGCTTTAATATCCATTGTAGCTTTTGCTTTCAGACTGAACGGAATTTCTAGTTTTCGCCATTCGTGAAATGAACACTGTGAAAGGGGGATAGCGCTTGAGGCAACCCTAGCTAGGCCGCTCACGAGGTTCATCCTTTCTCAGCCAGCACCTTTGCAGCGGGTGAGTGCGTGGCGTGGATGGACTGGTGAAATTGACCAAAATTCACTCAAGTCAGTAAATTTGAGTTTCACTAAAACGCCACCAACATGCCGGCGTATTTTCAAAGACCAGAGAATGCTCTGAAACGAGCGAACGGTGAGTATAAGTACACCTTCATGTTTCACAAATGTCAGACGTTAATGCTAACTAACGTTAGCTCGTTAGCTGCCCGGGAGATCGAACGCGTCGTCACTATGCAGCAGCGTAGCGAGCCAAGCTAACAGTTAGCCTGAATGGCGGGGAAGCCCTATTGCTCTCGTAGTGATACGGCAGTGTGACGCTAGCCGGCACGGCCGTTATTTGTCCACTGGCCGTTGATTAAGACCAACGGTCAGCCACCCTTTTAGAAATGTAACACATGATGCTGTTGGATGACCGTGTTCACCAGTAATAGCGTTTAAGTGTCATTGTCAGTGACATCTGTGGCAATTTGTTAGCGCTGACTGTTCTGTACTTGCGGCAATAATCTCGCGATCACCGAGCAGCCTGGGCCTAACAAAGTCAGGCTAATTTAGCTAACCACGGCTGTGGGAACGGTGCGAGATGTTCGGGTGTATCACTAACTTAATGCGGTTAATCGGATCGTTGACCTGCCGTGCAGCTTATATTGGTCCGTTTCTCGATGTGTTTACACAGAGTTTCTTGAGGTTGGCAAAAAGCAGCCAGCTTTGGATGTTTTGTACGATGTCATCAAGAGCAAGAAGCATCGAACATGGCAGAAGATCCACGAGCCCATCATGCTCAAGTACCTGGAGCTGTGCGTGGATCTTCGCAAGAGCCACCTGGCTAAGGAGGGCCTCTACCAGTACAAGAACATCTGCCAGCAGGTGTGTGAGGAGAAATGGGGGATGTTGCACAGATCGGGAGGTTTTTGTTGTTTTACAGAGATGGTTTAATGTCTTTCTTTGCTTTCAGGTGAATATCAAATCTCTGGAGGATGTGGTTAGGGCTTACCTGAAGCTGGCGGAGGAGAAGACTGAGACAGCCAAGGGGGAGTCCCAGCAGATGGTCCTGGACATCGAGGATCTGGATAACATCCAGACTCCTGAAAGGTGAGCATACGCTAAAGGGTCTTTAACATTATAGAGGAACTAAATTGTTGTCTGATTGCAGTCAGATGATTGTGTGTCACACAGTACACTGACAGTTCAATTTGAAAGAGGGCTCATCGTGATTATAAGATTAGTGAATGTAATAATATTTTACTGTGGTACAACATTTGCATACTCATAAGTGCCACGTAACAGAAAAGTGATGTGATTTAATAAACCTGTAGACTTTAGTTGTTCTATCATATACCGTAACCCTCTAATTCTGAATATCCACCTGTTATTTATCACAACTTGCATAATGTAAATATTTACTGATCATCAGGCTTTTTGGTCCACATTAGTCATTTGTTTTGCTCCATGTTGCCCGGCACGAGAACACAAGGTAATTGGCATGTTATTGATGATTTCTACGTGGATTATTAACCTTGAGCTTGTTGTGACTTAAGTGTCCTACTGAGTGCTGTGAGTGGAGAGGACACTCAGGATCGTACCGATCGCCTGCTTCTCACCCCCTGGGTAAAGTTTCTGTGGGAGTCGTACCGCCAGTGCCTGGACCTGTTGAGGAACAACTCCAAGGTGGAGCGCCTGTACCATGACATCGCCCAGCAAGGTAGTCACTCACGCTGAATACCTGTTTCCACTAGTAATAACTGCATTTCAATACATTTTTTTATTTTTATTTCAATGTAAGCATTATACTACGTGGATCTAGTCCTACAGAAATTAATGATAAAAATTAAACTGTACATTGAATGTTGAATGTTACTACGTCCTGTAAATTATATCTGGTGTTGTTTTTTTCCGCAGCATTCAAGTTCTGCCTTCAGTACACCCGTAAAGCAGAATTCCGCAAGCTGTGCGACAACCTGCGTATGCATCTGGGTCAGATCCAGCGTCACCACAACCAGAGCACCGCCATCAACCTGAACAACCCTGAAAGTCAGTCTATGCACCTGGAGACACGCCTGGTGCAGCTGGACAGCGCCATTAGCATGGAGCTCTGGCAGGTCTGTCCACCTAACACTAAATCACTCAAAGCTCAATATCTTCATCCATGCACATTTAAATGCACTTACTGAAAATGTAATTGTTTAAAAGAAAGTAGTCAACCGTATTGTTTAATATAGTGTATTACATGTGGCAACAGAAATACTGTATTGTCCTCCGGTGTAATATCGATCTGTCACATGGTCAAAGCGTAGATGTGGTTACTAATCTAGCACTGTTTTGTCTTTTTCCAGGAAGCATTCAAGGCTGTGGAAGACATCCATGGCCTGTTTGCTCTTTCCAAGAAGCCCCCCAAACCCCAGTTGATGGCCAACTATTACAACAAGGTGTCTACTGTGTTCTGGAAATCTGGAAATGCTCTCTTCCACGCTTGCACCCTCCACCGTCTCTATCACTTGTCAAGGGAGATGCGCAAGAATTTGACCCAAGATGAGATGCAGAGGTATAGTATTCATTATCGGTACAGCAGTGCACACATTTCTCTCTAGTAGTGACAAATTGGTTAAGGATACTTTCGTTCGATCTTCAGGATGTCCACCAGAGTTCTCCTGGCCACACTGTCTATTCCCATCACCCCGGAGCGCACTGACATTGCTCGGCTGCTGGACATGGACGGCATCATTGTAGAGAAACACCGCCGGCTGGCCACCCTGCTGGGCCTGCAGTCTCCTCCAACCCGGCAGAGTCTCATCAATGATATGGTACATCATCAGGTTTTCGGTTTGACCAAAGCCCCTCTGGTACAAATACTGTTGATTCATATTTGCATTGACATATTTGCACAAATGTATATTTATCTGTTTGCATTCTAGGTGAGATTTAACTTGCTGCAGTATGTTGTACCTGATATCAAAGAACTGTACAACTGGCTTGAAGTCGACTTTCATCCTCTGAAGCTGAGTGGAAGAGTTACAAAGGTAAACAATCTTTGACCACCAGCTTGTTAATATGTAATACATACAATCCATTTTGGTAGTCTGTGTATAATATTTACTAGATTGAAAATGGTCCACTCAGGATATGCTAAATAACTTCTCTTCTTTCAGGTGCTGAACTGGGTGAAAGACCAAGCTGATAAGGAATCTGATCTGCAGCAATACGTCCCTCACCTGCAGAGTAATACCATCCTGAGGCTCCTGCAACAGGTAATTATCTTCAGCCTTTTTGATTCCCCCGATATGCTGTCCTAAAGCACAGAAACAATGTAACGCTAGAAATCTCATTATTCTTCATCCATCCATTCTTAGGTTGCACAGATCTATCAAAGCATCGAGTTCACTCGTCTGGCCTCTCTAGTTCCATTCGTGGACCCTTTCCAGCTAGAGCGCTCCATTGTGGATGCGGCCCGCCACTGTGATCTGCAGGTAAGGCCAAGACCAAGAGAGTGGATTCTGGATGCTTTGACTAATTGATAAAATAACTACTTATCAACCAACAATAGTCTTATTACAGTGTTCACATATCCAACATTTCTTTTTTCCCCTGAAGGTCCGTATCGACCACTCCTCTCGAACTCTCAGCTTTGGCTCTGACCTGAACTACTCGACCAAAGAGGATGCCCCGGTTGGTCCTTTCCTGCAGAATATGCCCTCGGAGCAGATAAGGAACCAGCTGACTGCCATGTCTGCTTCTTTGGCCAAAGCCATCCAGGTCATCAAGCCTGCCTCCATCCTGGTGAGTTAAGCCCATTACTGAGCTCTCCTAACTAGACGCACAGATCAACAATGCTAACAGACACATGCACGTATTTCCATGTGGTATTAAAAGTTGTAACTGGCTTCACAATTAGTGTCTTTTGGCACGTTCTTTTATTCTCCAACTCAAAGCTGCATTTAAAAAAAAAGTTTTTTTCATTTCTCAGCAAGAGCGTGAGGAGCAGAACCAGCTCGCCATTGCTGCCTATGCGAAAAATGCCCGCAAGGATCACACGCGCATCCTGGCCCGTAGGCAGACCATCGAGGAGCGCAAGGAGCGCCTGGAGAGCCTGAACATTCAGCGTGAGAAGGAGGAGCTGGAGCAGCGGGAAGCGGAGTTGCAGAAGGTTCGCAAAGCAGAGGAGGAGCGTCTGCGCCAGGAGGCCAAAGAGCGGGAGAAGGAGCGCATCATGCAGGAGCACGAGCAGATCAAGAAGAAGACTGTCCGTGAGCGGCTGGAACAGATCAAGAAGACTGAACTTGGAGCCAAGGCCTTTAAGGATATTGATATCGAGGTAAAATGTAGATTGCTCTTTAGTTTGTATTCCATATTTCCAAAATGTATAAGTGTAAGATTGAATAAAAGGAGAGACTAACAAATGTTTCTTGTGCAGGACCTTGAGGAGCTGGATCCTGACTTCATCATGGCCAAACAGGTGGAGCAGCTGGAGAAGGAGAAGAGGGAACTTCAGGAGCGTCTGAAGAACCAGGAGAAGAAGGTAACTGAGCGATCAGGATCAGTGAAAACATCAGTCACCCATGTGGGAATTGGTGACTAATGCAGCTTTCTCTCTAGATTGACTACTTTGAGAGGGCAAAACGTCTGGAGGAGATTCCTCTTATCAAAAAGGCTTACGAAGAGCAGCGCATCAAGGACATGGAACTGTGGGAGCTCCAGGAGGAAGAAAGGGTATTTAGAAAAATGGAACACTGATCAAAAGAAATGTGATACACCCAGATGAGGATCTACAATTACAGTCTTCCTTCTTTTTTTTTATTAGATCAGTAACATGCAGGTCGAACGGGAGAAGGCTCTGGAGCACAAGAAGCGCATGTCCAGGATGATGGAGGACAAAGAAAGCTTCTTGTCCACAATAACTGCTGCCCGCAGCTTCATTTATGAGGTAAGATCCTCAGCATGGAGTGAGCCGGCCGGAGGCTGGTTTAGTTGCATCTCCTTCAGCAGGCCGAGGAAGCCGGTCTTAACACGCCTTATAAAGTCAGTGGGGAAACCCAAACTGCTTTCCTTGAGGTTCTATGAGCACAGCTCCTGGGCCTTAAAATTCAAATCCAGGTGAACTTGAGTGTCCCCTGCTGGTACAGCACGGTAATGGCTTCTGCACAGAGGCGATGCGGTTTCTAGAGCACAGAGGCAGGAACACTCTTGACTGTGGTTTCAAATTCTCCATTGTGTCTTTGAAGGAAAAATTGAGTGCTTTCGAGGAACGCTTGGTGGAGGAGAGGAAGAAGCGCATGGAGGAAAGGAAGAGGCAGCGCAAAGAGGACAGGCGCAACACTTTTTACCGTAACAAGGAGGAAGAGGCACAGCGGATCCACGAGGAGCAACTCAAGAAAGGTATTTATAGAACACTCTAAGGACAGGCGTCAGTGGTTAGTTCAACTGAGAGTTGGCTCTGACTTTTAAAAGGAAGGTGAAGTTGGACGTGATGTAATGTCCGACTTCACCTTCCTTCCAAAGTTTTGCAGCCACTCCACAGTATGTCAGCTCCGGCCCAGTGCCAAAGCTCTTACTCTACCGCAATCTGAACATGTCATCCTCCCCTTTTTTTTTATACAGAGCGGGAGGACCGTGAACGCGTGGAAAACGAGCAGCGTGAGGAGGAGGAGAGGGAGTACCAGGAGCGTCTGCGCAAGCTCGAGGAGCAGGAAAAGAAACAGCTCGCTCGTCAACTGGAGATCGAGGAGCGAGAACGCCGTCGTGAGGAGGAGAAGAGGATCCCTACTGAGGAGAAAGCCAAGGTGAATATCTGCTTCTGTTTCAGTTGACATACAGTTGACTATTATACAAGTATGAAGAGGGGGGGGAATTACAAGTAATTGATTCAAGATGTTTTATTTTACTGCCTTTTGAAATGTATATGAATCTTTCTGATGTAAAATGAGTAACGCTTACACCTGTGTTTACATATTGCAACTTAACGATTCCTTTCTGTATAACAACAATTTATCACAATAGTTTGTGATATTGTCCCATAATATCACATGTGTAATATCACGCACACACACGCACAAAAGTTTAAGTACTGAGTGTGAAGTAATGACTACAGGCTAAAATATACACGCCTTGTAGGGACAAATGACTGACAACCAGTCTTGATCAATTGGTTTTGTTTATACAGGATTGGGCCGACAAGGAAGGAGAGAAGGAGGAGGGAGGATGGAGGAAGCGTACGGACGGAGGGGATTCAGAGTGGCGTCGTCCTGTGCCTGACCGGTAGGTTTTGGTAATGCAATCAAACTTGATTTCCTTTTAACTACGCAAGACTTCTCTAACTGCAGCCGTGCTCTCTAGAGCGGAGTGGAGACAAGAGGGCCGCGAAGATGACAAAGAGGGCGCTGAAGGGACCTTCAGACGAGAAGGTCTTCGCCGGGGCGGAGATGACCGAGGTCCTCGCCGAGGCTTTGATGATGATAGAGTCCCACGCCGGGGCGCTGATGATGACCGTGGCCCGCGCAGAGGTTTCGACGAGGACCGCCCGAGGCGTGCCTTCGACGACGACCGTCCTTTCAGGCGTGGCTTTGAGGATGACCGAGGTCCCCGTAGAGGCATGGAGGACTCCAGAGGTTCCAGGCGTGGGGCCGACGATGACTGGGGTCCCAGAAGAGGAGGGGATGACGAGAGGGGTGGAAGGAGAGGCATGGACGATGGGCCGCGCCGTGGTGCGGACGTCGACGACGGCAAAGCCTGGAAGCCCCTGAGCCGACCTGGTAAGCCTGCAGCCAGCAGCGGTGTCTTTTTCAATACGAAGACTGCTGAGCAGCCGTGTGCTTAGATTAGATGGCACGTTTAACGGGAGGATGTGCTAATGCTTTAGCTACAGGTGGCTGGCGTGAACGGGAGAAGGCCAGAGAGGACAGCTGGGGTCCTCCACGTAACAACGCCAGTGAGGACAAGGACGATAAAGTCGAGGAGAAACCCAGAGAAGACCTCAGAGACCGCCGCCCACCCAGGTGGGCCTAAAAACACCTACATAGTGTATTTATTTTTGCTTTTGTAAAAAAATGAAGTTATCACAGAGACGTTTTTACCACAATCTATTCACAGAGAGGAGAATACTTGGAGGAGGCCAGGCACAGAGGAAGGAGGGAGCTGCTGGAGAGACTCTGAGCCCCGTGTAGTGCGCCGCGAGGAGCCCCGTGTAGAGCGCCGCGAGGAGCCCCGTGTAGAGCGCCGCGAGGAGCCCCGTGTAGAGCGCCGCGAGGAGCCCCGTGTAGAGCGCCGCGAGGAGCCTCGTGTAGAGCGCCGCGAGGAGCCCCGTGAGGAGCCTCGTGTAGAGCCTCGTATAGAGCCCCGTGAGGAGCCCCGCGAAGTCAGAGCCCCACCCAAAGAACAAGAGGAGGGTAAGTGTGATTTAATATACAACCAAAATATCCATACCAGGGCTTCACCTGAACGGGCCCCTAGAATATGTGACATTGTTAAAGGCTGCGGGACGGAAAACATGTCAACGTCATGTTCATATTGAAATGTAGCTTTTATTCAAGAAAACCTTTAGCGACATGTAAGGTACAAATGTGTATTTTACCTTCAGCACAATGACTGTGATCCTAACATTGTAGCAGTCATCAGACACACTTCGCACAACTGTATCAATTATACAGAGCTTGCAAATGGTCCCCAAATAACTAAATAGAACAAATCACTCCTAAAGGCCGGCGCATGCTTCTGCGTTTGCGTCGATGCACTCGTTTCAATTCATGGTTCTGCGTGTGTTGCAGAGCAATTCACCGCTAGAACAACAGGCGGAGTGACGTGTTGTGTTGAAGACGACCTAGAGAGTCACGTCTATTTATTTATTTGTTTATTTATTTATCATAGACTTTATTGCCCCGTGCATCGCCGCTGCTGCTTTTCATCGCGGACATTTGTCCCGTATTTTCCTCCACAACTTTGTGCACCTCTTGACCGGAAAACCGGCGTTTGCGGCGATCTCCCTCCGTGAATCCAACCTGCTTCTACAACCGGCCAATGACGGCTTGTATAAGCGTCATATTTGCGCATTTCTTCTGACAAAAGTTCTTAAATCTGCTCCGATCTCTTTGTTTTAATAATGGCGATATCGGGCTATGAAAGCAGAAATGTGAGACTCCGTAAATGATGTAGTTAGCGGACTAATCGCAGCCTGGTGCGCTGCGGGAGGTTTGCGTTGCTTTCGACGCAAGCCTAGAAAAATGGCTCGACACACGCAAGGACGCAAGGAGGTGTGAAAAGCGACGCAAGGGACACGCAAGGGGGGCTTACGTCTGCGTCGCTCTGAAAACGCAGAAGCATAAATCCGGCTTATTTCGGTGTTCCACCTAGCACTATTTTGTCTTGACAAAACAACAACGCTACATGAAGGGGTTATATTGAGCCAGCAGAGGTCGCTGTTCCCTTTTTTTGCTGATGTGGAAAGTGTCAGAGATACCATGGGGGATAAATATAAACGCATTAATCTATGCGATTAATGTGGCCACGTTTAATGAAACAAAATATTTCAACGTAGTTAATGTACCTCTTCTTTAGTTCCGGAAGCTGACCGTGGAAACGAAGCGGCCGCTGGCTGCAGTCAGTTACATCCGAGAAAGCAAGACAGCAGCTCACGATAAACATTTTTTAAAAACATTTAATAGTAACAACAAAATTCATTAATCGATTAATTAATTTCAAAATGTGCGATTAATTATTATTTTTTAAATCTTGACTGCTCTAATAATTTATTATAAGAAAAAAATTAGGTCTTAAACTAGAGTTGTGAATCAACATGTTGTGATGAGCATAATTGTTTCCATAGGAGGTTCTTGGCGCCGTGGAGGCGAGGAGAAGCGGGAGGAGCGCCCCAGAGACGAGCAGCGTGAGCCTGAGGCGGAGCCTGAAGGAGACAAGGGTTGGCGTACCGACAAAGACGCCCGCCGCATCAAGAACGAGACAGATGATGACGGCTGGACCACTGTACGCCGCTGAGTCACTTCCTCTCAGCCGGTTAGCCACAGTGGTGAATTCTGATACTCATTTGGGATATTCCTTTGTATGACATCTTTGTAGACAGTAGTTTTCCTGAAGATGATTTTCTAATTAATCTTTAATTTTGACATCCAGCTGTTTTGAACCAGAGGCTCCTAACACCATCAACCAATATACCTTTATGCATTTAGTTCACCTGTCAATGTACACATGACTGTGGTATCATTACCTTGCATTGAAAAAGTGAAATTGAATAAAAAAAACATTGTTCCTGCTCAAACTTTCAGTGCATCACCAACTGCCTCTTTTTAATAAATGCTCTTTACAAGGATGATGTTATATTATGCCACAGATCTACAACTCTTGTAATAGCAATGACCAGGAACGTGTCATCTGCTCCGGTGATCTCTGCGCTCTATCTATTTCAACCTGAACTAGGTGAATTTACATCTCCATGTGCATGCTTAGAGTATTCAATTGGTCTCGCCTCATATCCAGTGTGTGTGGTTCTATCTTGCTGCAATTAATGGGATCAAACCAGGTTGCATGTGTACAGATAAAGCCTTTATTAATAAAGATGTTTGCTCACCACCCATTGTTGATTTGGTCTTGAATACTATGGCGCCATTGAAGATCGCAGCACTCTCATCTATAGCCTGGTGCCCAACACAAAGCTACTTGGCCCATTGTGGGAGTCAGAGGATAAACCTGCACAAAAACAGTTTGATTTGAGTGACGCTTCTGAAAATGTGTTCCAGTATCTGTATTAGGCCGCATACGATTTTCACCCTTCCAGACTACCTTTGAAAAGCTGTCTAGTTGTCCCCAGACGGCCCAGTTTAATCACACTACCACAGGGTTCCCACTAGAGGTCAGTAAAGCTCCGTGCAGAGGAAGGCTGCACGTGTGAGAGGAGGGGTGTTGGTTCATGCCCACCATCAGCACTTGGCTCCGTCCAAAACTCGGTGTTCACTATGCAGCCAATTCTAAAAAACAATAACGCGATGTTATAGTCTTTCAAGGCACCAAAAAACTAATTTCAACAAAGATGAACTTTTCTTAAATGTTAGTTGTTCGGTAGAAGCATTGCTTTGAATTTGGCTGAACTGAAGCAAACGTGTATGAAGGTTACTGTAATACTGATAATAGAAACGATAGTAATATGGATAATCATAATAATAATGTGCGTCGTGGGAAGAACATTTATCTGTGTTTGGTTGTATTAAAGAAAAATGCCTTACCTTAATGAACTGACTCGGCAGGTTCAAAGAAAACATCTGAAACAGCCAACAATTCGTGATAACAATAATCTGGATTGACACATTTTCATGTTAAATCGTGCGTATTTGTGTGTTGTACGGCTCTGCCAACACATGTCGGTGACGTTTGTATTTTATTCTCTACAGACCGTTGACCTACACGCACAAATAAGCCCCACGCTGTTGATGTGCTTTGCATGGGCGTGCTATGCATCTTCGAAGTAAGCTACACTATAACAATATAATAACGGCCAATTAATAACTCCAATAAAAGAACACTTAATAAAAATAATAACAACCTCACACACGTCGGCCCATTAGGCCAATTCCATTTTGCACCGTATGAAAAAGAACAAAAAATATAAATACCAAATTACATTGAAATAAAATATAAAACAGGACTAATTGTTCATTTTTCCGGGTTGGATCCATCCAGTTCCGAGCAGCCTTACTGTGCCTGCGCGCGCGATTAGTGCGTGTTTCCTCACGGAGGCCCTCGTGGCAGCCCGCAGACACAGGTACCAATAAACACCTGAGCATGTTTGCACTGAATAGCAGCGACTTTACAAATGTGTTCGTGTGTGTGTGTGTGTGTGTGTGTGTGTGTGTGTGTGTGTGTGTGTGTGTGTGTGTGTGTGTGTGTGTGTGTGTGTGTGTGTGGAGGGGGGGTCGTGAACACTGCGCGTCTTCATGCACTGTCCCGTAGTGTACCGCGTGTTTGTGTCTCACGGGCGTCTCGTCTCGTCTCGCAGTCACAGTCTTTAATATTTGAAATGTATCCTAAAATAATCTGAAAAACATTAACTAAGCGGGGAGAGAACCAGAGCAGCTTCTCTGCATAAACCCAGTCAGAAAACAGGGAACAAAAACGGGAGAAACGAAAAGAAAAGGCCAAAACGATACGACTGACGCTGATTATTTCCGCCTGCACAGGACGATAGACTTTTAATAGGACTGATTTGATGTTTGCACAACATTGTTGTGCATGATTGAGTATAATCACCTGCTAACACTAAATGCACCCCCACCCTTAGGAAGGAAAAAAAAAACCACTGGAAGGGATCTATAGGGCTTAAATGGAAAATAGGCGGGACACGGGCCGCCTGGTTCAAAAGGAGTGTTTTAAATTTCCCGCAATAAATGCGCGCGGACGCATGTGTGTGCCCCCCACAAACATTTTTTTTTTATGAAGAACGGAGAATTGTTCTTTGTCTGTTTTTCTTATATCTTTTTTAAGAGGGGGGGGGGGGGAGGTGCTCCTCTCTGGACGAATCCGTTCCGTGTTGCGCGTTCGAGTCCGCCTCTCCGCGCCCCTGCTTCCCATTGACGCACTTTTTAAGCGTCTTCCCTTCTCCGGCTCAGGGCGAGCAGCAGCGGCGGCGACCAATCACCATGCCATTACAGCCTTCAGAGGAAGCTGTTTATGGGACTGCAGCGCTAATTAGGCTCATGAACTAACAAATCTGCCTGCACGAACCCGGGCGAGGAAAACGATCACATCCATGGATTAGTCTGGGAGAAGCCGAGCGCTTTTTGTTGGGGCTTTGCGGACACTGCCCGCCTTTTCCTCCCCGAACTTATTTACTGCGCAGAAAGTTTCCCCCTTTTCTTTGGGTGTGGAGTATTTTTTAAGCGCGAGCGCCGCACGACAGCTTTCCACTTAAACTGGGGAACCTGGACTATCAGACCATGTTTCAACCTGCGCCCAAGAGGTGTTTCACCATCGAGTCTTTAGTGGCGAAGGATAATCACGTACCGGCGTCCCGCACCGAGGAGCCCATCAGGCCAGCGGCTCTCAGCTATGCAAACTCCGGCCAGATGAACCCCTTCCTCAACGGCTTTCACTCCGGCGGCAGGGGCGTCTACTCGAACCCGGACTTGGTGTTCGCCGAGGCGGTCTCTCATCAGCAAAACTCCGCCGTCCCGGTGCACTCGGTGGCCCCGCCGCACGCTTTGGCCGCTCACCCGCTTTCATCCTCGCACAGTCCGCACCCTCTTTTCGCCAGCCAGCAAAGGGACCCGTCGACGTTCTACCCCTGGTTATTACACAGATATAGGTACTTGGGTCACAGATTTCAAGGTGAGTTATCAGAATGCTTCGTTCGGCTCTTTTTGCGCCGAGCGGCTCCATGGAATGTTTTTTTTTTTTTTCTCTCCATCAGTTCGGCTTTTTTTTTTTTAAGCTGCGAAATTAAATAAAATCCGTTTTTTAATACAATCATCTCCAATCTTTAGGCCACAGGAGTCACTTGTGTATTGGATTATTTCGTTCAAAAACGAATCAATGAATTTTTTCTCATTTTCAAAAAAGAAAGAAAAAAAATCCCTCGAGCGGAAAAGATAATTGTTGACTCGGCCGCCTGTCAGTCTGCTGCCTTTAATGTTGATCGGACACCAAAACCACTCGAAATGTTGACATGTTTGTACACTGCAGCTTAACGGATATACGACTTGGATCCATGCGTGAAAATGAAACCAATGTATCGCGCTGCTTATTTCACAGACACATTTCACATTTAAACTAAAATACACGATATTGATTTTTAGCCGGGGGGAAATTACACACAGAAATTGGCTGGTTATTTGAGCCTCTTGATCATTTTGTAAGGGTGACATGAGTCCAATTTCGGGTAATTCGAATTGTATTTAATAAACTGACATTGACGGATGTTGAAATTCGTTTAGTGATTTATGTATTCTTTTGGTCGCTTATTTTGTTGTATTTATTTTTGCTGTTTTACCAAATAGAGTAAAAAGCAGTATATTTTTGAAGAATTTAAAATAAATATATATATATATTATTTTGGATGCTGTCTATTTAAAGGTCTTCATGCTATTTCATTTTACCTTTTGTTGACAGAGGCTGTTTTCGAGCTAATTTAATTAGGCCCCGGATTATATACCTTTGTGCCGGTGATCCCACAGATGTTAGACGGAGAAAGTCAACAATAAGCAGCTATTTAAAATGCATACGTGTTGGGTAAATTACAGATTTACAGACGTGTGCCCGGCCTGTGCTCAGACATCATTATCGTGCCGTGTTCACAGCGGACTGTTGTTTCGTAGCTGAGCAGCAGGCCCGCTGCTCCTGGTGGAAATGTTAACACACCTTATAGAACGAGACGACGGCTGCTGACGGCTCCCTTCTTTTCTGCTCGTTCCCAGGCAATGAAACGAGTCCAGAGAGCTTCCTTTTGCACAACGCGCTGGCCAGAAAGCCCAAAAGAATCCGGACAGCTTTTTCCCCTTCGCAACTCCTGCGGCTCGAACACGCGTTTGAGAAGAACCATTACGTGGTGGGAGCAGAGAGGAAGCAGCTCGCGCACAGCCTTAGCCTCACAGAAACTCAGGTAAGAAACGTCACATTATCGCTGCTTCGACATTAAACGCCGCACGGATGGGACGAGGCGCTTGTTTCGTTTTTGAGACGCGCACTCTGCTGCTTTGCATGGCGCTCGTAATAAAAGGCATCGCTCGCATCGTGGCTGAGGAACCTGTCAAATGGTTTTATGGAACGTGGCACTGTGCGGCAAAAAAACACACAACAACAATCAGGCAACTATCAAATAAATATGTGACAACAAAGAAGAGACGCACAGCAAAGCAATCGTGTTCAATCATCAGCCGCCGAATTGTTTCTAGCGGGGGGGGGGGGGGGGGGGGCCAAATGCCCCGTTATTCATTGAAGACAGGGCTTTCTGGTGGATGAATCCGCTGTCATTGTATCGGCCTAACCTCATTTCAGGGGGGGTTGAATTACTTTGTTTTCAGGGGGTGCGAGACGGGGGGGGGGGGGTTGGGGGGGAGATGTTGCCTTTCAAAATGGAGGGCAAATTAACCAGTTAACCATTTTATGGGATAGGCGACACAAAGCGCGAGGCGGGTTCAGTGAATTCCTCCTGCCATATTTAAGATGCTGTTTGAGCCCATCGGCCGCTGCCTTTTGTCCGCTGTGTCTCCTTTGGACGGCGGGGCCTTTGCGGGGGACTGAAGGGAGAAATGAACCGTCGCCTACTTTAATTAGCCCACTGAAGGCGAATTAAATGCACCTCAGTTGCCGTTTAAGAGCAAAATGGGGCTGCAGTGTGACAAAGCCGGAGCAGACCGGTTATCGATTGAGATGCTGTTAATTCCCAGCGGCACCGTTTAACAGAGCGGAGTCCATCTAGCGTGAACTTCTGTGTTTAGAAGTGGATGGAACTCCTTCGTTTCCTTTGACGTCTGCATGCTTCTAGAAACAATCACACAAGGGATCAGAGGGCTGATCATTTAAAGGGCCTTAACTTCATTGAATTCAATATTCATTTGTATTATTGAGGGCGTCTGTGAGTTGAATTCACTTTACCCTGACAATTATGATTGGCGGATTTAAATGCACGAATTCACATTTTCAGGTGAATATAATTGATCTTTCTTCCTTCTGGAGGTTGTTTGCTGATTACAAACTGCAGGTCACAGCTCACCTTCTTATTTCCACTACAGCGCTGCCTGCTTGTACTCAGCGGTGCTCCAAAAACACCGCGTCGCTTTTACGCGTGGTTTTACGCACAGGGTCCATCGTGGTTTATCTCGTCACACTGATCCAGTTTTTTTTGCGCGTTATTTTTATCTAAAAAAAATGTTCTCTGTTTTTCCGCCTCTTTAGGTAAAAGTGTGGTTTCAGAACCGGAGGACGAAGTTCAAGCGGCAGAAGTTAGAGGAGGAGGGCTCGGAGTCTCAGCAGAAGAAGAAAGGATCGCATCACATAAACCGGTGGAGGATGGCAACTAAGCAGGGGAGCCCGGAGGAAATCGATGTCACCTCGGACGATTAAAACAACTTTAAAAGAGAGACTATATAAGCGTCTGCGTGGAGGAGGACATGGATAACGGAGGGTGTAGAGACAGCGAGGGGGGGTAAAAAGCCAATGTCACGTTTCAGATCTCCGGAGATCGGCAGCTGAGGGTGGGAGAAACCCGACAGGTGGCCCTGCTGTCACCGCGTGGGTCTGTCAATCCAAATGACCCGGGTCGAGTGTCTCAGTCCACCGACCTGAACCCTTCCACGCACCAACCACCACCACCACCACCACCTCCTCCCATCCGCCACCACCTCAATTGTTTCTCTCCATTCCCATTGGACGTTTGCACTTCAGAGTTTTTTTGTTTTGTTTTTGAACAAAAACGTTTCCACTCAAGATACCAAAACACCGAACTGCTTTTGTAAAACTTGAATTGCATGGTATATATTTTTTTGCCCCCCTGGTAGTTGTTTTTAATTTCACGAGTTTTTCTCAAACCAAGAAAAAAACTAATTTGCTTTCAACTCTTATTTTCCAAAAGAGATGTCGTGCTCCTTCCTTTTTTTACAAAGTGTGCAGTCTTTAATTAATGATTCTCGTGTAAAAGTGATTGTGAAAACATATGAAGTAGCGGTGCTGCGGTAAAGTGTTTTTCTTTTCTTTCTTTTTTTCTTTTTTTTTAAATTACAAAAATGGAATTTCGATTGAAAAAAAAATCTAAAAAATGAATCAGACTACAGATCAAGTACTTAAAAGGAAAGTATCAGGACATTCCTTTAACCCAAAGCTTTACTGATGTGTCGCTGTGGCCCCACGCAGCCTTCTGTCAGGACTGACCCTCCAGTGAATGCAACAAATGAGCGTAAAAAAAACAACTTCAAGCACTGAGCTTATTCCATGTACAGAAATGCTTAAAGTAAATGTTTCTGTTAAACCCTCTTTTACATAATGTAAATACGTTTTGTGTTTGTGTTAAGTTTGCTACAATTTTAACACAAAGTATACTTCCAAGAAGTATGTAATTGTCAATATTTTGTCAATAAAGTTTTATCAATATGTTGCGCGCAGTAAAAGTAAAGACTTTTGATTAACTAGAGCAGCTCAATAGAAATGAGTCTTTTATGGCGATGCTATTTATTCTTATTTTGTGCCATGAAACGGAATCATGTGGATGAAGCGAGGTTTGGCTGATGTGGCTTTAGGCGTTTTATTTCACAACCATATATATATTATATATATTAGCCTGTAATTTGTTGTTTCTCGGTCTCGTGCAGTCGGCACTGCCTGTGTCTCCGAGGGGCTGCAGCGCTGCTCCGCTCCGGCTACAAAGAGTCCCTACGAGCTTTTGTGAAAGTGCAAATCAGTTTGGGCAATTATCATGCGAGTAATATGAGGGGGGGAAAGGGGATGCATTGCCCAGTGGTCCACTTTAATCTCTTAATCCACGGATCCAAGGGGCCTTGGTTGGACATAATTTAGTACAATCTGACTACCCCTCACGATGCGATAAGGGAAGGTTCCAATGTGCCGCAGAATAGGATCTTTGTTTAAAATCTTGTCCTGGGCTCCGCCGTGCTGCAAGCTGCTGCTTTGGACTGAACGGGAATATTTGAACCTCCGCGGGAGGCTGTGAAACTACATCCATGTTATTTACAGCAGGAAGCTATTCACTGTTAAGGCAACAAAACCAAAGGAGCCCCCCCCCCCCCAAAAAAAAATCTGACAAATTTAAACTGGATTATGATTTTTTTTTTGCTTGTGAACACATAACAGCACAGTCTCGGATTTTTTTTCCAGTGCCATGTGCATGTATTTGTTTTAATTGTTTCTTATACTAAAAAGAGTCCTTGTGGTTGGGGGGGGGGGGCATAGGGAATTCTTAATCTTATAACTGCAATAAAAATCTTTAGAGAATACCATTAGCTTTGGAAAAAAAAAACCTAAAAGCTTTATTACAAACCCAGCTTTGAAATAGGGGGGATTAGAGGACTGAAAGGGTCCCACAATAGTTAGAAGAAAAGGTTTCATGCTAATGAGGTTAATGCCCTTTGTATCTCCGGACTCCACAACTTCATTACTCCTATCTCGGGCAACACCGAGCGGCTCAGAGCTTCACAATCCACTCGAGCTTTTCCCTACCCGGCCTCTAAAGAAGGATTTGATAGCAGTCCTGTTCAAACTAGATAATTATATCTTTTCAAGTTGGAATTAAGATAAAGAAAGTGCAGTGGAGGCGGTGAGCCTTGATCCGCCGCAAACAAATTTGGCGCACTCTCCCCCCCTCTGTGCGCTTGTATGGACACACAGGAGACAGGGCAGGCTTCTCATTAGAGCCTGGCACAATTTGATTAATTAAAAGGCGTTTGTTTTTAATCTGGAAAAATCTATGTTTTTTTAATGTAGCGGCAGCTCTATTTGTGGTGAGACAATTTTGTTGCGGAAGTGAGAGTGAACATTTAGCATGTTGAGACCACAACATTCAAAATCAAAATGCATGCAAATATTCTAAAACGCTGAATGGTTCCTTATTCTGACGGCACCCTAAAAAAATATTATAGTTACAAAAATTATAATAGACATTTTTGAAAGTCCTACGTCTTGGTCTGGATAATTCAAATTGACAAAAATAAAAAAAAATAAAAAAATAAAGAAATATGCTCATGTTTGCAATCCACAGAGGTTGCTTATTTTTCATACGCTCCTCTCGTGCGTTTTAAGAAATCGACGCGTCGTTCTTTCTCGATTTTGGCTCTTATTAAAAGGACGATCAAACGCAATTTGAGACTAAGGTCACATGAATATTATCGTTCGGGGCAGAATCCAAACGTGTGTGTGTGTGTGTGTGTTACGATGTGAAGTGGGCCCTCGCTCATCAGATCGCTCTCCCGCACGCTCGCGCTGCGCGTTAAGGACCTTTGCTGACCCGCTTATCTAAACTTAAGCTGCTCCGCTCCGTCCAGGGGCCAAACTCTCCATAAATCATCCCCGATCGCAAAGCGGTGGATTATTCCGCACACATTCACGGACCAGCCAGTTTGGCCGTTTTGGACCTTAAAGCCCCGCTTGCATGAAACATTTAGTCCGCAACGTGAAATGATTATCCGTCATTGAAAAGAGTGGTCGGTCCTATCAAGTGACCCCACTGACCCAAAACCTCTAATCTGCAATTAGTAGGTATAATTACCTCCGCTGACACCACTAATGTGGGTGGCGGCGGAGGGAGGGAACCGGAGGAAGTCAGCCTCCGTGTTGGTGCCGCAAGTCAATAATTGATCGAGCTGAAATCCCTTAAATTGGGAGAAGTGGCTGCGGACAGTTTGTCAACATGTTGCAGCTTTTTCCAGGTTTATTTCAAAGGGCGTCTCATCAGATTAAGAGAAAGGGCTCGCGAGGGGCCACCTGTAGGCCGGGCCCGTCAAAAGGCCACGTCAGGACTAACTCGATCCGTCCCGTTTCTCAAATTGCCCCTGAAATGGATCCTTGAAACGAGAGAAAGAAGCCCACACAATCCCCTTGGCCTTGACATAAGGTGCAGCGATAAATATACAAGACTAATGAGCAATTACTATACAATCATCCTTCAAATGGCTTACATAATAATAAATTAAACATCGGAGACTCGGATTGAGTTTCTTTCTTTATTATTAATAACGAGGGAGGGTATATGCCACGATGCACACCGATGATTATGTTTTCACTTCGGGTAGTCCTTCTTTTATTATCTCGAAATGACGAACTACCTCACTGACCATCTACTGATGACGACACAACGCCAAAAATAATTGTTGTTTCATGTTTTTTTATTGTTATCAATTTGCCGTTATTTCAAAGGAGATTGTGCGTTTAAATGCTCAATTACAGACACTTGCACCGTGATCTTGAATGCAGCATTTCTCCGCCTGCTACATTCAATGGCATAAATCACCCTCGTTAAAGGCCAAACTCTACCTTAAATGGGGGCTGACAATACATTGTAGTGAATTTCTCTAAAATGAACTAAGAGCAGTAATATGTAAATAATTCATGTAAAGTAACATTTGAATATCATTATTTTTTATCAATTTTTTGCCTCATTTAAAAAAATCACAATTTATTAACTCACAGAATTTTTCAGCTCGTAGACACAGAACACACACACACACACACACACACACACACACACACACACACACACACACACACACACACACACACACACACACACACACACACACACACACAGGTTGGCACCAAAATGTAATTGTTAATAGATGAACGAAGCCCAAGAGCCCCATTACAAGCTTCTCTGACAGAGTCATGCAAAGGCTTCGGTGCTGCTCTGCCCACATTCACTGAGGTCGCCACGCAGACAACACATGACCAAGCGATGTCACAGACCTACAAGTGCTAAACGGCCATTTCACAATGAAATATGCAGCGAGAGCTTCAAACAGGAAATACTAAACTTTCTCCACCTGCACAGGCGTCTTTTTCCTCCTGTCAGGCTTCTTCTCAGAATGCCCTGCACAGCCCGCACAAACCTCCAGAATCTGCCTAAACCCGGCCTACATGGTCTCAGCTTAGTTAGGGACGACTCAGATAGTTGAATGGCCTTCTTAAGTTGTTTTCTTCCTCTTATTTACTCCAACCGGCTGCAACGGTAAACATGCATCTTTAATGCACTCCTATTCTGATGACTTGCTGCTAGCACAAAGATTCCTAAGGTTTATTTTCTTTAATGACAGGGGGAATTTGGGCTGTAATGTGATGCAGTTTCATTTGCATATAAGTGCTTCCCACACATGCACCAGTTCTGAAGAGAGCAATTGTTGACCCCCCCTTCCTCCCCCGTCCCGCCCCCCTTCCTCCTCCTCTGAAGTTCCAAACATTTTATAGGTTGTATCTGCGACCAGCATTCCCCTCAGTGCACTAATGTGTAACATATGGCGGACTGTACACCTGATAAAATACCTCAGGGGCCCTGCAGTTTGGAAAATCCTCAATTCGCTCCCTAAATAAAACAAACAATGGCCCCACTAAATATATCACATGTGTCTGCGGAGCTTTTCCGCGTCTCTTGACCCGCGAGTCCCCTCCCACATCATCGGCCCTGATACGGGCATCTGCTTGCTGGCCAGTGCCGTGGCACAGCCAGCAGGTACCTTTGATACCGCACATGTGAGAAGAAGCTCCCGTCCTGACCTGCTGCAGGCTAAACAGGCTGCAGGAGCACGGCTTGCTGTCTGGCTCTGTGACTCCCACGCAAAGGCGTCCATGTTTTCTGTCCTTCCAGGAAATGATCACATCAAATTAGCTCAAACCTAAAACCGAAGCTTTAGTCCACTTCTCCTCTGCTCTTTCATCATGAAAGTGCAGTAAATGTGGCTAGAATTAGAGCTGAAATGTAATATAGCTGCTGGTGTGTGGGTCATTGAACTGACAGGTGAAATAGTGGGCACCTGTTCCTCTGTCCCTGCTTTGCACCCCACTGAGCTTCGCTGTGTCTCCCCCTCTTGGTAGCAGGAAGGGAGAGAAGTCTTCCTCCCTAAAAACATGAAATATCAAGTTTCTCGTGGCCAAGTCTGATGGCGATTGAGTGCTTAGTGTCTAGGAAGGGAGGCTGACTAAATACTAGTGGTGGAGTTCTCGCAAAATGAGCTTGTGTGCGCACGCGTGGATAGTTCAACATTAGAGTCATCTGAGCCTGTGACACATAATTCAATCTTTGGATTTTTCATTAAGGGATTTTAATATATCGTTGTTAACTAAGGGAAACATGACAATTAGAAACCCAAGCGGTAATCAATCTACAGCCAAATGTTTTGTACTCATTTTGCTCTTGAAGTGCACATAATTAAACTGAAAACGTCTTTCTTATGTTTTAAATTATATTTACCAGGATCCTATTGAGTTATATATTTTTGTATGATCCATTAAAGCATCATTAAACTTGTATATCTTATTTCTGGGGACACTTATGGACCAATGACCCACACCCCAGCACGATAGATGTAGCACATCTGATCTAATTATGTAATAAATATCCACAGATATTGCAGATAGATTCTTCTGTAATACAAAT